GGAAAATTAGAAGTCCAGAGAAGTAAAAACTTATCCAGGGCAGTAGAGAGAGACAAAGTTAGGATAATATCTCTGTGGACTAGTATTGGTTTCTGCCTGTGCTTGACCCAAGCAGATCTACTCAGCCCTGGGCTGAGTGTTTCCACAACATTATAACAGCAGAATTGAAGCTGAAGAAAGTCCTGCTTTCTTGGGCCTCTCTGGCAAAGGAGCTGGACCACTTGGGTGGAAAGTTTTTAGTGACAGGTTGCTTTCAATTTTATGGTCATTCAAAAAGGTACTAGGTTAGCATATGACAAAATGAAGACTTTTCTTACCTTAGATTTAGCAAAAGACTTCGATTTATGTGCTAGCTTTTGTACCAAAGGAGACTGAGATACAGGTAAGATTTTAGGCTCTCCATGAGACAACCCATGCTAGCTGAAGTGTATTTCCATACAGTTGCTGTGTCAATAAAGGTCACAACTTAGCAGCTGCTCTGTATAATGCTCATAAACTCACATCTTCAAATATCCTCTGAAGTCTCACTCATTTAATTACTCCAATCATCTTGCAGCCTCTATCACCCTACTTGACCAGTCTTTATCACAGTGCATTGGTAAGTGCCATTAGTTCTGGTCCAACTGGGAATAACTATAACAGCTGTCTGTAATGTCTTAAAACACATCAAAACCCCACAAAAAGGAAGATAATAAAGATGCTTTTACAAGTCCTTGGGCAGGCTGAGTGCCCTTCTTCCTGTTTCCCTTTCATAAAGGGGGGAGAAAATTATATAATTTGACCATATTAGTCACTTAAACCAGTTATTTCTGTTTTATTCCAATGCTTACTAAAGACAGGAAAAGAAAAGAGGTGACTTTTGGAGAAGAAAGGACAAAAGGAAACAAGTCTCATTCCTTATTGCTAACCTCAGCAGAAGGTGACTAAACACTAACCTTGGCCATGACTGTAGGCATTAACTGCTAAATGTAACGCTCCAGTTACTTTTCACTCAACTTCCAGTCATGTGGAGCCAATCCTGGGCATGGAGAGGCAGAACCATTCCTTCACATAGTGTGGTAAAGACACTGTCCCTGTACACATTACTTTTAGACATGATTCGTGTCAAAACAGAAATAAATTCAGGCAGCTCCATTTTGCCTGAATTGGACTATTAAATTTGAAATTTAAATGGTCCCCTCCTACCTTGGCCATGGAAGAGGGTAAATATATTAAAGAATCATCTGCCTAAACACACAACTGTGCCAGAATAATGGGTTATAAGAAGGGCTTGACTCTACATAGTAAGAGTAATTTGTGGACCATTCAAAGAAGAGCTGGGCTGAATAATCCCAGGAGTGAGCGAGGGGGACTAAGGGTATGTGGACCCAGTGCTCAGATGTGCAATGGTTCATAGTTGTGGTTTGTCAGTTGTGGTCTGTTGGCCAAAATCAGAACCACTTGGCAACTCCTTTCAGCCAAAACGATGCAAGTTGAGCACCTGTATTACCTGTGGGGATCTGCATCCTGACATTGTTGATCTCACCTGCAGAAGAGGGAACAGCCTCTCCCCTCCTTGGCCATGGCCCAGTGGCCACCAGTTGGAGCCCTGAGCTTACCCTGGAGGTAGGGGGGCTGCATGCCATTTTGCAATGCAAACAACAATAGCAGGGCCAACTTAAACTCTAATCTCCCCTTTTAAATTGGCAGCTTAAAGTATTAAGGATACCAAGAGACAAAAAACAATAGGCTCTGGAGGTTGTGCAACTGAAATCCAGTTTCAGAGCTTTTCAGAGACCAAGGCCTCACACTAGTTCATGAGTACGAAGAGGCCTGGAAGTCAGTGCAAAAAAAGACAATAGAGGAAGAGAAGTTGTTCCTCAAGCTTCCAAGTCACATGGAAGGAGGTTGATTGTGATTTTGATACAATTATCAGCTGAATCTACTGCTAAAATACAGATAGTGACATAGGAAACAAAAGCAAGGACAGAAACACAGGAATAGCCAAGCCAAGCTCCCAGAGAAAGATCAGCCACAAAGGACCATGGCAAGGGGTAAACTTTGCTATTTAGGTAAGACCCAGGGAATCCATTTCTCCCCCAAAGATGTTCAAATCTATCTATACTGATGTCTTTATTCATGCTTAAATCCCCAAGAATAATCCATCAGCAACACCAGCTCCAGCTTACCCATGAAATCCTATTTGGAATTCAGTGATCAGGCCAGGAAACCCCTGGATGATGTTGGGAGGAGGAAGCAGCTAGAGGAGGTGTGTTGCTGTTCCCTGCAGCAGGGAGCTGGTGAGGATCACTCTAATAGGAGCAGTGGGACAGTTGATTTGGTTAGTGCTTGTTACAGACCTGGGTTTTATTTTTCACCCAGTTAGCTCTAAGCAGATGTTAGAATTATTGAATAGGAAGAAGTAAAATTGCTGGAATATGTCAGCCTACAAGAAGAATTTAATTAAAAGAATTCTAAATATAAATGTAGTTTAATGACACTGGAACTTAAGCATTTCCGTTTTGCACATCCTGCTAATAATGTTATTTTCTTTATAGCAATGTAGTCTGTTCTACTCCAAAAGGTTCAACCTCCACTGTGTGAAGGAAGACCTAAAGGCCTCTCCTTTGGAAATACAAGAAGATATGGATAAAAGAAAGCCCCAGCATAAATCCTGAAAAAAAATCCGGGATACAACACATAAATCCTGAAGGACCAAGAATGACACTTCTTTGGCTGGGATTTCTCCTCTCTCCATTTGGAGACTATCACGTTGCTCCTTTTAAAGAAGTGACCTTCATCAGCTCACTGTTACAGAACACAGTAACACATCTCCTCCATTTGGCTTGGTCTCAGACATCACTGTGCAGTGACTGCAGAGCCAGTGGAACAGCTCTGAGGTGGTGAGGAGCCAGAAAGGAGGGCAGGTGAGCCTGCTGTCTCCATGTAACATGCTTGTAGTAAAAAACTAAGCATGCAGCACAGGAACCATGTCCAAATTGTCACATTTGCTGTTGGTTTTGACACTCCTACAGTGTTATGAAAGTCTGAGAGGGATTTATCTGGCTTAGTTGAGTAGACATCCAGGAAAGTCAGTACAGACCAGTCATTACTGGCAATGCTGTCCTGGTAAGAGGCAGGGAATTGAAAGCTTTGGTTTTAAGTCTAAAATAAAACTGTTATGAGAAAATGTCACAGATACCCATAGAAATACCTACATTTTTCAGTATGATAATCTCAGAACCGTCCCAGCACTGAGACTTCTGAAGGTAGGTGCTCCTGTAATAAAATATTAATAAACATACTTACAGGTCACTTGCAATCACTTTCCACTCAACCTTCCAGTCCATGTCAGCATAGCAGCCAGAGAGGACTTGAATACATTCAATCTATGCTTTACAATAAAGGTGACTTCCTTCTCACTTCCACATCAGCTCATCTGGAAATAGAAAAGGTCCCTAAGTAAGCTCAAGTCTTTCCTGAACTGGACAATTAGACTTCAGCTGGAACAAGGATGTCAGGAACACAATTTCAGTCAAAAAAGGGTAAAAGGTTGTTATGGAAACAGCAGTTTGTTTAGCTCAAAAATTAGCTTCTCTGTTATCTGTGCTGACTGTCTTAAAAGAAGATTTAGGTGGTTTTGCTGTAAAACCAGAGTCAAACACCTTAGGGATATGTCTAGAATGTTCCCCAGTTACCAAATCGCCTTTGTACTTGAGTTTTTGTTAGTCATTGATCAAGAACCTGTTAGTACTTTAGCTGACATCTCTTTTTTCAACTCTTCTATCCATATAATTTGTCATATGACAACAACTAAACTTGACCATTTTAGTAGAATGAACAAGTGTGTGTTAAAAGACATTATTTCAAAGAGTTATTTTCAGTTCTTTAGGACATTTCAGTGACCTAAAAGCTTTCTTTTTTTCCTGAAAGGAGTATATTGGTGTCCTCTGTTAAAGCCTGGAATTCCTCACAGCGACTAGAGAAGCAATAATATATATCTATGTCTCAAATTGTGGAAAAAAGATCCATGTTATAAGTCAGCACCTAGAATTCCTTTTTGCAGTGACAGAACACGTCGCTTTCAAAGAAAGTGATACTACACTTGTTACGCTGGGCGGTGTTAGATTTCAGTTTCATGCTAGGCACACTGACTATAAATGCTATGCTGTATCTGCATCTGCTCTGTACAGACACCAGAGGCATGTCCTGTGCTAAACCCACAACTGCAAAGAGAGTGGGAGATGCCAGCGAGAGAATCGTGGCACTTCGCCGTCTTCGAATTGTAGTCTCATAATCAAGCTGACCAAGCAACATGGTTTTATGAGATCACATAATATGTTTATACCAGCAAACATACCTCGAAACATTTTATTTCCTGTATTTTACAGTGTTTGCAACAGGTTGTATCTTGACAGCAGGTTTTACAAGCCTGGCTAGTGCAGTTCCCACATCAGGGAGAACGTGCCTTTCGGCTCTCTGCCATTGGAGTCTGTCGTGGGCCCGTGAGCTGCACTCACTCATGTGCTGGGAAGCATCTTGTCTCTCTGAGCTGTTTTCCCTCCTGTTCAGCTGCCTCTGTGCCCTTTAAGACAAATGCAGTTAGCTCATTTATTTGCAGTCGTTAGCGTTGCATGATATAACAGAAGAGCCATTTAAAGCCCTCGGAAATTCTGCTGCCTTTAAGGACTTATTCAGTTGAAACGGAGGGGGAGTGGGCTCTGGATTAAAAGGGAGCAGAACTTTCAGTTCTCAGCAAACTACAGAATTTTCAGTTTGGGTCAGTACAGCTATTTAGCTTGCATACAAGAGAGAAAGACAAGTCAGGGATACCTCTCCATCACAGCACCTGGTTGCCCTTGTAGGTGAAGAAAAACCAGCAAGTACCACAGAGAGACAACAGATGTGTTCTGGCACCTCTGGTCCATGCTTTAGGAACAGAAGGCTGTCCGACATGCCACGTGGTATTTCCTGGAACCACAAGGGGCTATTGTCTGTGCCCAGATGTTAAAACTTACATATTCCACATTCTTGGATTCCCATCAAATGTGAGCATCATGGTCTCCGTATCATCATATTTTGGTGCACATGTGACTTCACAGCCCAAATGCCATCATGCCCAGCCTTTCCAGCTATGAGGCCTGCACTTCATGTACACACAGCCTTTACAGGCTGGTTTCATCAGGGTCTCTGAGTACCTTCTGGTGCTCATAATCAGGTCTTCCACCTTCCTGAGTGCAGCTGACAAAGAAATATGAGTCTTTAGCCTCTGTTGTAATTTTAACTTCAGCAATCTATTACCAGCTTCAAAAACCCCCAAATTCTGGAAGGAAAACTGTTACCTGTGCCATATTCTCCCAACAGTTTTAACTGGGGCCATGCTCACTGAATTTGTCAGGGCACTGCACTTCATACTGTGATGCTTCACGAGTATCACAGTGTACTTGATACCTGTTGAATTCCACAGATGTCTCAAATGAGCCCTGCAATCCATGAGGATGGAAGAACACAGCTGGATGGTGGGTCAACAGCAAACTTATGAAATACATACAGAAATATACATGCAACCTCTCTGTGCATGCCACACACCCACTCCTGTTTCAAAAGGTGTCTGACAGCACACCAGGAAGCATCAGCACTTCAAAGATGCTTCAAACATGCTGCCTTTAAAATGCCCTTGCAACATGCACATTTTATTACATAGTAAACACACAATACAATTTGTTAACAGATATTTGATGCTAAGACAAAAACATCTGGGCACCAGTCCCTCCAAAGGACCCTTCTATCTGCTTTCTGAAGCTCTTCTATGTGCCAAACTAAGGCAAATCAAGGCAAGGTACAATCATTCCCACCCTTACTGACAGTAGAGCAGCACAGAGCACATGTCTATGCCACAGGTACTGCTGTGGCAGGAGCCCTGACATGTGTCCCTGTTCCCAGGTGTGCCACCCCCTGCCCTGCCCAGCTCCTGATCCTGCAAACATTCACCCAGACTGTCCCTGAGCACCTGCAAGGGCTGCACAAGGGCACAGGACAGAACTGCTGCAGGGGCCAGGAAAGTTACTCAGCACACACTGCCCCAGGCCTGGCAGCTGCTGTGGGTAACACACAGAGGAGCCAGTGGAGGGGAACAAGTATGTTTGTCTCAACACCATCACACTGCAGTGAGTTCCTCTCCCAGAAATAAAAGATCAGCACAAGTCATTAAATTCGCTTTTAAAAATCCTTTATTTTTTTAAAACCATTAAGGCAAAAATCTGTATTTCAAATTAAGTTGGTTTACATTCAGCCTGAAAGGATTACTTTTTTGAAAGCACAGAGGTTCCTACCAGTCTCTGTAGAAACACTGTGAATTCAACCTCTTATTTTTAAAGAAGACGGAAAAAACCCAGAATGTAAGAAAGAAAAAAGTGTTTAGTTCAAGTTTTTTCATCCTAGATCAGTAGGCTGGTGACACTGGAGAATGCATCATTGTAGTTAGCTAGATGTAACTGTTACATTCACAAGTGCAGGAGTTGTCTTTCCTAAAACCCCCTGTGAGACCAGGGCTTCCATTCATCCTTGGAAGTGTCATTTGCATTGTTCTGGCAGAAAGAAACTTGGGAACTTGGCTTGAATTAGTGTTTTTTTTTTACTGGGGAACAAGCATTCCATGAGAATTAGGTTTGACTACTCCTTGCAAGAAATGTCTGCTCCTTCTAAGTTCTGTATTTACTGTAATAAAACATACCCCAAACCTCCTAAAAACAGGTGACTGGAAACAATGAGCTGGTTTTTTTTTCTCTTTAATATTGATATCTTGATTTAATTAACCACTTGTTAGCTCTAGTGATTAGGGTTGGCAAGGTTAACAAAACTGCTTTTTTGTGTCACACCAGATAACAAGGCCCTTGAGAAGGTGAGAGGCCTTTAACATCCTGACTTCATTATTCTGTGGTGTTACATTCCTAATGAAACTTCTGAACGACTGTTTGGAAGAGCTGTGAAACAGCCAGAGCCACACGGGATGCAGCTCATCCAGGAGCCCTTAAAGCAGACTTTGTCAAACCCCTGAGAGGGAGTTCTTGTGCAAACCCCTAATATTGGAATGCTGATTAGATCTGGTATTACTAAAGAAGTAGCTCAAGTTTCTCCTTTTAGAAGGGCCAAGGCACTGTGTCTCCACAAAGAGAGATGCTGTGTGGGGATACACCCGGGATGGGCCAGGGTGACCAGGTGTAGGTGTGGGCAGCTCTGGGTGGCTGTTTGTGTGTGAATCACCCACAGACAATGTGGCAATCTCCTCACAGCCCGGCAGCACATCCCAAACAGAGCCTGACTGGTGGCACTGCACCCCTCAAGGCAGCAGTCGAGCGCGGTGCTTGTGCGTTGCTGGTATGTTGGTGGGTCAGGATTTTCCCATCCTGCCAACCTTTTGTCTTTCAAGGGTAAAGAATGCCACGAAAACTCCCTGCCTTGAGCATGAGGCTGGTGTCTTTACAATGGTAGGGGTTATGGTACCTGCATATCCGACCTGAGAAAATACACCAAAGTACTGAAAAACACCTTAGAGTACCTTATGCTTGATCTTGCAGTCTGCATTTAAGGTCCAGCCTGTAATCAGATCAGTCTCTTCTGTGCAGACAGCCAGAGGCAGCTCAGCTGAAAACTGAGGTCCTTGCACTAAGGAACTGTT